AGATAAAGAAAGAAGAAAAGGGAGGGAAGGAAGTGGGGAAGGAAGGAGAGAAAAAAGGAGGGAATTTTGGCCACAGCAACTTGTGGCGGGTACAGCTAGTATCTTATATATTGCTAAAAACAGCAAACTGTTCAAAGCTGAGAAAGACCTTAGCCAGAATGAAGGTGGAACAGTGCAAGGTTATACTATTGTTATCCCATCTTATTTTTCTCTCAAATTCCATCCATGGCTTTCATAGTGCATTGCAAATGGAGAATAAGGCTATGCTTCTGAATTCCCAACTGATTTTGTATATTTGTGCCTACAGTTAAAGAGATAGAGAGATTTGAAATGTATTAAAATGTAAATTGTATTGAACACATCAACATTCTAATTAACTAGAAGGATAAGAAGTAGTATAACATGCAGATTATGACCAAGTCTTTTGTTAAAAGGACTGGATGCATACTGTATTGAGATGGGATGCATACTCTTATTACAACTGATTATTATGATTCTTATGATTAGAAAATACTGTGCTTTGACTCATCAAAGGAACGCTGTTCCTATATTCAATACACTAGTATTGTCATTCTTAATGTCAAGGGGAAACCTTGACCACATATACATATACATACATACATATATGCAGATAAAAAATATTGTGCTCATCAGCACTATACTAGGGATCACTTGTATTAAAGCAAGTGTTAGGATACATTGTTGTATATTTCATGTTGTTTGATCTTTTTCGATACACTTTTAAATATTTCATTTATTTAACAACTTGCATTAGAGCTCATCAGTCAGATCAATTTGAGAAGCAGCTAGAGAATTATAACAGGCTGGCATTAAGGAAGTGTGCCCACAGCACTGTACACTGGGGGTTTCCAGATATTGTTGAACTGCCACTCCCACATTCCTCATTGTTGGCTGTGATGGCTAATATTGCTGAGAGTTACAATCCAGCAACACCTGGAGGGCCACTTGATTTCTATCCTTGCTATACAGTGTAATCCATTTTTTCTTCAGCAGCATGACCTGTTCTTTCTTCCCCCCCCCCCCCTTTGCAATTCAATATATTAAGAACCTTGGTAGAGATTGATTCAATATCTGCTGTTAACAGGATATGGTTTAATTCCTGAAAATACTCATCTATAATCTCTAGGCCATCTATTTGTCCCAGCCAGCATTACTTTATAGTACACAGCTGCACCATCAGTTGCTGTGGAGGTAAGTGCAGCTGTAAAAATGGTACACTTGGATGCTTTCATAAAGTTTCTGTAGTTCCATGAAACATGTGTTCGCTTTCATGTCTGCAGAAGCATAACTTAACTCAGATTGAGAAACATAACGTATTGTCATAGACAACAATATATTTAGCAAATGATAAGGTATTTCACAGCTGTTTCCCCTTAAAGGTTTAAATGTTCCATATCTATGGCGACTTCCTCTGTTTTCCCTCTGAAGGCAATTGAAGACAGTTTTTTGAAAATGGTTGATATTAATATAGTTGTGCTAAAGAAGTAAGAGATGCATGCCTTTCCCCAATGATTGTATTTCATGTTTCAACACAATTTACTGTTGTGACAGTGAGAATGTCTAAATTACTCTTTGCATGCATAATTAACATTCATATCACAGGTGGAATGAAGCAAAGTCCCTCTATTCCAAGGTAATTTTATAAGAATGAATAAACATTGAAAAAATACCAAAAACCCTACAGTGACTGTTCCGACATCCCACCCCTGCCATGACTCACAGTGCCTCAGTAAGTGCTGCGTGTTTGCCACTCGAGGTTATGACTGGTCATAAAGGAACGATGAGTTATATTCTTTGGGGTTCTGCTCTTTACAGCTAAAACTAGACATTGGAAAAATATTGCAAAGTCTGGTTGAAGGGAATATGATGGTATTGCACCGTCTATTGGAGAAAACATGTTACCATCAGTGGGAGTGATGGGGAAAATCTTTAATGGGATAACTTATTGAGGAAACCAGATCACGTTGTGATTGCAGATGATGCTGTGAAGTTAAGATATGAGTGCTGTCTGGTTACACCTGTTTGTTGACGTGAAACACACTTTAGTTCCGTTGAAATAAATGAGAGAAAATAAGAATGCCTAATTTAAATCCTACTGATTTGAATGGAAGTAAAGGCTGACTCAAGTCTGTACTGTTTTTTTTTTAAGAGATGGATAATCGGTAAATGCATCCCTGTGCCAGATTGGTGTCTTTCCTATCCTGTTCCTTCTTACACTGGTTGCACGCTCTCCTAACAACCATGGGATGCATCCATGGAAGCCCAGGCTATAAATGAGAAGCAATTCTGTCAGTGGAACTAGAAGGATAAGGTCCCCCCTTCTATATGCATATTCCATATCTGCTCCAGAGAACTGGGAAACCCTCCAAAGCAGGATTTTCGGAAATGCTGGTGCTGGGATACAAACAAGGAGGAAGTCCTATTGAGAGTACATGGAGAATCACTAGTTTCACAGATGAGGCTTCTTCTTCCATGGATGTTCACCAATTGAATTCAATCTATAGTGTCCAAGTTGAGGAAAAGTAAAGTTCCAGTCTGTACAGCACAAGTGGGCAACTGTTTCAGGTTGTGGATACCTCAAGGAAGCTTAGTACAAGGAGCTGTTACTTATTACTGATTTGTTTCTATAGTTACTCTTCCAAGGACACATGGAATCACAAATGTTAAGTGATCTATTTATTGCTTTTTAAAAACCTAAAATCACCTTATGTGATTATTTATGTGATCTTACTAATTTATTTGCCCAGTTTTTAAAAAACTCTGAATCACGATTGCTTTGCTCTTGAAAAGTCCCCTAGGGCTGGTGGTCTTCTGACATGTGGACGTATCAGCCATTCAGTGCAGTGCAGGAAACTGGTTGAATGAAAGAGTTGTGGTGGTAGTCAACCTGTTGTTGTTGTTGTTGTTGTGTTTATTTAGACCCCACTTTATCTCTCCCGAAAGAGTCTCAAAGTGGCTTATGTTAAATATATGACCACACAATTTAAAATTTACCAGTGTGCAAACATTAAAACAGAATTAAACATAACAGTATTTAAAATCCACAGTTAAAATCCATTAAAAAATATTCATAGCTAAAAACCACATAACCCCCTGGCTTGATCTTAAAAACCTTTTTCTTTAAAAGTCTGTCTGAATAAGAAGGCTTTAGCCTGACACGGGAAGGGAAACAGGGAGAGGGCCATTCTGACTTCTCTGGGCAGGGAGTTCCAGAGTTGAAGGGCCGCCATCAAGAAGGCCCACTCTCTTGTACCCACCAACAGAGCTCATTACTGGCTTTCACTGGGATCTGAGAAAAGCAGGCTTACTGTGAATTTCATCTCGGCTAGAGAGTCATATGCATACTCCCAAATGTCATGAGAGTCTATTAGAAATGTACAGGTAGGAATGTGTATGGAGCTATAGGGGAAATGGAGAAAGAATTTGATCTGCCAGCAGTGTTTGTTCCACTCCTGGAAGTGCATTACTGAATACAACATGCAGCTCTACACTTACTCCAGGGTTTAGGATTTCAGCTATCCTCACCTGTAGACATTTCAAGCCTTTAAGGTCAAGAAACCATTTCTTTCAAATATAGACTCAGCAGGATTCAAAACTCTGCCCTTTCCTTTCCCTTCCCCCTCCCTCCCCTCCATTTCTCATATTTCCTTCTCTCATTCACTGTCCAGATAAAGAGTATGTACATAAATAACCATTTATAATATTAAATGTCATGTATAATATTAAATGCCAAAAGCATGGTTAAAAAGCACATGATCCATTTAATCATTTCAGATAAATGTAAATCCATAACACAGATAAATAATAACAGGAATTAATTTCATGGATAATTCATTTGATTGATTTGTGGGAAATAATCAGCAAGTAGAAACAATTTTGCTCCAAACCTGCAGTTTTTGTTAGTACTCAAGATGTTGAATAGGTCAGATATATTGTTTACATGGACCCGAAGGCTGCATATGCTTCTTATTTTGGGATACCCATGCAGTTCTTGTCTGATTTCAACAATGGGCATGACATGCTGAAAACACTCGTCATCTTGCAAACAAGATATAAGGAGAACTAACACCTTATTGTATACAAAAGCACCAGCATCTTGCCCTTACTATTCAGTTGAATTTCAGTGGTATAGCACATGGGCAAAGGGAGGGTAATTTCCCCTTAAAGTAAGGTACATGAGAATTGTCTGGCTTGTTTCCAAGTTAATTAATCCTTCCTGGAGGCTCCCTGGAGTACTGATCTCCTTGTAAATAAACACACTCCCTACATAGCTTATTTGAGGGCAAATTGTATCTTGTAATTCCGTTTTTAATGCTGCAGCTGCAAAAGATGTGATTACCAATGGGTACAGAGGGAATCCAATGTGCGGTTCCAATCTGCCTCCCCTTATAATTTCTAGTGGTTGCTCCTGTGATAATGAATTGTATACTTGTGCAAAGCAGTCAAGGTTAGAATGTAGGCTAGGACCAGGGACACCAGCATTCAAAATGCAAGTCAGTTATGAAACTTGATGTGCAGGCTTGATGTCCTTACTGTCTATTCCAACCTATTTCAAATTATTATTGTGAGGATCAAAAATGTGGCAGGAGAAAGAAAACCACCATTATAATAAATAAATAATACACTGGGTGTAGTTGTTAATATAACTAGTCTATTTATACATTGTGCATTTCAGAACTTAATATTCTTTTCCAGAGTATATACTCAAGGGAGCAGAAAGTTTCATGTTTCAAATTATAGCTTAAATATAACTACAGAGAGAGAGAAAAGGCAACCAGTGTTGTATATATCTTTGAAGACCTCTACATTGACAATAAATTTAATATGGCATTGTTCTTCTCAAGTCCAAGGTGAAGTCCTAGTTCTAAAATATTGAAAGATATTTCCCAGACTTATTTGATTTGTTATTTTTCATGTTTATGGGGCGCAGTTTTCTTTTTTTTACTTCAATTGTTTTCTTTTTTCCTTTCTTTTTTCAGATTTTAAAGCTTTCCCTGACCTCCAAAGACCAAGTGGACTTTAAGATAAGTTCCCTAAACCAGCATGCCTTTCAAAACAGGACTAGAACTAACAGAGATGCAGAACATGAGGATCCCGGAGGATGACAATGTCAGCAATGATTCCAATGATTTCACAGAAGTAGAAAATGGGCAGATGAATAGGTTAGTATTTTTCCACTGCCCCATATTTACCACATGAAAACATACTGTTTAAATGAAGCATTTTTATTTGAAACACAGCTCATGAATGATTCATTACTGAGTCATATTCTATTTGAAGAAGTAATTTGAATTTCATACCCCACTTCTGTTGGCCATTGGCATTAACAGTGAGTGAGTGTGTGAGAGAGAACAAGAGAGAGCAAAGCGTACTCATTTATTCAGTATTTAATGCCACTATGTTTAATAGAAATGTACAAATACCATATAACCAGAAAGCCAGCATGTTAAAAGTCACTCAAAACACAGAATCAAATCTCCAGGAAATATTTGACCATGGCTGTGTCCACATGTTACACAAACTGTGGTTTCATATGATGTTGTGCATCTGCTTTCTTTTTTACTAGAACCTCAAGATCCGCAAATTGAAACCAGATGTAAAAAGAGATGCTGACCTTAGAGTCTCCTAAGACCAAAATCTGTCTCATACAGTTCAGTTTTATAAATATTTCATCAGTATACCATTGAGCTGCTGAACTTGCTGACCAAAGGCCGGCAGTTCAAATGAACTTTTGCTCTTAGCCCCAGCTTCTGCCAACCTAGCAGTTTGAAGACATGCAAATATGAGTAGATCAATAGGTATCTCTTCTGCAGGAAGGTAATGGCACTCCGTGCAGTCATGCTGGCCACATGACCTTGGGTGTGTCTACGGACGTCAGCTCTTCAGCTTAGAAATGGAGATGAGCACAACTGCCCAGAGTCAGACACAACTAGACTTAATGTCAGGGGAAACCTTTACTTTTACTTTATTATGTGGGTTTTGGGAGAATGTTATTGTTCAACAATTGAGGGTCAGAATTCCTTGCTTATCTGTTGGAAAAAATCACTACAGATCTGTCAAAGAAGGCACAATTTATTTTCTGTACAGTTCTGATTTAGCATTATGAAGACAAGCCACAGTGGCCCTTAGGTTTGCATGATCTTTCTCCCAGCTCCACTCATCCACTGTCATATTGAAAGTCAGTTAGAAGTATCCACTTCTATTTTAGATTAACCACGGTTTACTGTTATTTTAAATCCTAAACGATGACTAGTTTTGAAAAAAACTTTCATAAACTAGAGTTTAAAGATTGATTGCCTGATCATAGCTAAGATTATAAACAGTTTGCCACAAAGAGCTACAGTTATTTTTAAAGAAGTAGAAACCTTGAAATTCCTCTTTATGTTTGTGCAGCGAGCAAGATGTTTAGTAACAAAGCTTGACATAACAGATCCGCATAATGCTGAACTGTGAGTTAGCTTTATGCAAAAATACAACTGCTGCCACAGGTTGTGATTCTTAGGGTCGCTCAAATTTGAGTATGCTATATTTACTATAAGGATGCCTATAATGGTAAGACAGATTGCAAATGGTTCAGATGATACCTTTTTACCTTAAGTCTGGTGCATACATAGAAAATCTAGCTTTCATATTGTGAAAATTTTTCTTCATGATGATCTCCACTTAAATAGGCAGCTTTATTTATGCACCAAACTCCCATTTTTCTGTTGCAGTGGAGCTCTCCATCAAGCAAATGCATGCAAATCGGCATGTAAAGCTGAATGTTGCAGAGAATTTTCTTTTAGATAGGTACATCAAGGTTGGCACGTCTGTTTTTGACAACACATTGTTCCATCTCCTGTTCTAAAGCAGTATTGTTTAGAGCTCATCTATAGATTCTGGAAGAGCATGTAAAGATAATCTTTCTATGACTGTGCAGTTTCAGAATGTACATGTGGGGTGCATGTTTGAATGCTGATATGGCAAAAACTCCAGCTGCAGAAAAAAGAGGGGAAGGTTTATTAGGAAAAATAGTATGGTAATTGTCTAGCCACCCCCTAGATATACTGGAATTCTAGAGAGTTCTCTCTCTCTCTCTCTCTCTCTCTCTCTCTCTCTCTCTCTCTATATATATATATATATATATATATATATATATATATACACACACACGCACGCACACACATGCACACGTGCGCATACACAGAAGTTTTCAGCATGCTTGTCTTCACCTATATTCTGAAATGATACAGTGCCAAGAGGTCTGGTGCTATTTATTACATCTGAAGTAAGCAAGAAAAAAGATATATAGGTCAAATCTTTCTATGGTTCATTTTAAATCAGGATAAAAGCTCTTTTTCTATGTATACTCACCAGTCTTCCTTCAGTCTTCAATGTTTGAATGTCCTATGAGAGCTGTAAGATTCTGGAAGCTGTATTGGGGGGAGGGGGGAGAAACTTCCCCAGGCTCTGGAAAATCTCCAATTATTTCTTAAAATTTCTCCATCCTGCTGTAAATCCCAATTCCCTGCTTTTTTTTGTCCCAGGGGAGGATGCAGGGAATCTGTTGTTGAATACAGTTTCCTATTGGGTCCAGCCAACTTGGCCAATGGTGAGGTATAATTGTAGGCAAAATATCAGGCTTGACTCGCTGACATTATAATATAGGGTTGAAATGAGTGAACAAGATATACACCAGTCTGATTTTCTTTTTGAGATACTTCCAGAGTTACCTTTTGAACTACAAAAAGATTGCAAATGTCATGATACCTTGTTTTCAACTTTTTCTACCACATGATTTTACTTATATGCAGAAGTTAGTCAGATAGACTTTGGTGCATTTCATAGAGAATGAAATAGTTTAATATAACTAGAAAGATGACTTTCTCCCAGAGCACATAGTGCATTTCAATCTTTTTGCATGGTTTTCCCTTCTCCTGTTTTTCTCCCAAGTTGTGGCTAGACGAAGTCTCTCTGGTATTTTTGCTCATTGTATGAGTCATTTAACAAATAATAAAAATGTACCATATTTTGATTTTGAATGTGGCAAGATTCTTGGTGTGCTTTGATATTGTAAGATTTTTTTTAAAAAACCTGTCTGCTCCCAGCTATCGTATCAGAGTTCATTCTCATTGAGTTATAAGCAAACAGTTCCCACTGAACCTGTGGGATTTCTATAGGAGTTAAGTTGCATTTCAAAACAATTCGTAATTTCATGAAACTTATTTTCTCAATGTGCATATAAACAGCATTTGCCAAAACAAAATTCTGGAGGTGGAAACTAGAATTCAGTAAACTTGTTTTGTTTGATTTTTCTTTCAGTGTTATATCATAGGATTGGATTTGCCTCTTTATATATTATATGAAGTTTGCCAGTTCGTATTGTCCCTTTTAGGTGTAATTCAATATATTGTATTGCACTATTCCTTTTACACAGTCATAGCTTGATGAAAACAATGTAAATCAAAACTGAAATGGCATAAAATTCAGCAACAGTTACTGATCATAAAGAGTGCTAAGGGGTATTTTGCTATGTGTTGTTCTCATGTTAAATAAATCTCGTGTTGCTGTTTTTCAGCAAGTTTATTGCAGACCGTGAGAGCAGAAGAAGTCTAACCAACAGCCACTTGGAAAAGAAAAAATGTGATGAATACGTAGGTTTCTTGCCTCATCCTACAAAAAATATTTAATTTATTGTTTATGTGGAAGTTGTGACACGCCAACAAGCAGAAATAGTGTAATCCCTTTCATCTTGTGGAATGCTTTGCTCATATTTTATGTTTGTATTGCATTTACATCCCCATCTCATCTCCAAGGACTTCAAGGCAGTGTGCAAGATTCTTACTACCTACTATTTACTGTGCAATAAACATAGTGAATGCGTATTGTAGGGAAATTGATAGGTATAAATGTATTTCCTTGCCTCATAATTCTAGATGGAGGTCATCCAATGAAGCTCAAGGGTGAATATTTAATATAACTAGAAGGAAGACTTTCTCCCAGAGCACACAGTGAATCTGGGGAATTTGCTTCCACAGGATGTAATGAGCACTGTCTGCCTGCACAGTGTTATAACATTGTTAGGCAAATTCATAGAGGATAAGGATAAGAGGATTGGTCAGTGGCTACTAATCTCAAATGGGTTATTGTTGCTGCTACTGCTGTCATTATCATCCCCACCTTGAGTAATGAGGAGAGCCAAATAACAAATAAAATTTGTCATCACCATCTTTATTTATATCCCACTTTTCCCTGGAACTCAAGACAGGGTATGTATTGAAATGTTTACCATTTAATTAAAAACATAGCAAAATAACATTACAATGCCATTAAACTATTTTAAAATATACACTTAAAACAATGTAAAAACAGTACAGTTCAAAATAATATAACATGACCCTCTCTTCTCATATTTATAAGACTAGTAACTGCAGTTTCAATTTTCCATGTCTGACAAAATATATCCTGTCTCGGCATTTTCTAGGTCTTCCTGTATGAGTCTGTGATATTATTAGGCCAGATGTACATCATTTCATTTCATATCTGTGGTTGTGTGTATCCATGATAAGTTTGTGAACACATTCTCCATGAATATAGTATACTGTACATCATACTGTTAAAAACCCTTTCCTTAAAAACTTTAGTTTTTTAAAAAGGACATCAAGAAGGGGCTCCTTTAGCTTCTCTGAGAAGGGAGTTCCAAAGCCTAGGGGTAGCCACTAAGGAGATCCTAACTTATGTTCTCACTAATTGTAGCTGTGAAGCTGGTGAGACTTAAAAAGGTCCTCGTCTAGTGATCTCAGGGCCAGGTATCAAGAGAGAATCCCAGCTATGATATTTCAGTAGGTACCTGATTGACAATTTTGGGAGCAGAGCACTGAATAGGCATTTTTTCTGATACAACACATACGTCTTCCTTCATTTTTTAACCATGTGTTTGGTTTGGTGAAGAAGCTCACTGGTGATGGTCATGTAGTGAACTTCATGGCTGAAGCAAAGTCTCCCTGTTTCAGCCCATCATTTTTAACTGGCACCATTTTTATGAAATCTATCCAAGTAAATGTGTAATAATTTGCCTCTAGAGGCACACAGTGATTTGTGCTCTGTGTAAACAGATCTTATGAACATGATTTCCAGTAGTTAAGGAAGAGATTTGCATTCAGCTAGAATGCTGAGTGAGAGTCAGCTAATGCATACACTGTGAATCATCTGATGTGTGCATATAACTACTTGCAGTAATAGTTTTGCAAATACTATTTTCAAAACATTATCCAGTATTTTGAGATGCATATGTTCCAACAGATCTTTCAGTTTCCTTGTAGTTATGTTGCTCTTCCTATTGTGTGTATTCGTTCTTTTGAACTGTTGTCATTGATTTTCAGTTATTCATAAATCTTATGCAACCGAACTCCAGGATATGTGTTTATTTAGACCCCATCTACACTGCGAATTAAAAATCAGATTATCTGCTGTGAACTGGATTGTATGAGTCTACACTATCATATAATCCAGTTCAAAGAAGATAATATGGTTTCTATTTGCAGTGTAGACTGGGACTTAGTTTTTAAGAGAAACTTTGAACAGATGATAAGATAGCTGTCTCAAGATGTTAATTCAACTGAAAAGACAATCAGATCTATTCAAGATAATGATAAAGAGATATCCCAGTTTCCAACAGACCTGACAACCTCTGAGGATGCCTGCCATAGATGCAGGCAAAACGTCAGGAGAGAATACTTCTAGAACATGGCCATACAGCCCAAAAAACCTACAACAACCCGATTAAGAGTTAAGCAGCTCTGGAAAAGTTGTATATAAATATGTTATCATGGTTTGAGAACTGGACTGTGCCTTTGGAGACCAGGGTTCAAATCCCTGCTCAGCCATGGAAATCCACTGGCTGACCAGGATGAATCATGTTCTCTCAGCCTCAGAAGAAAGCAAAGATCCTCAGAAGAAAGCCCTTCCAAGAAAACTCAGCAGCAGGTTTTCCTTTGTATCACCTTAAACCAAAAGTGACTCAAAGGCGCACAACAACAACATCATCATTTACAGTTTGAAACTGTAGCACCAGTTAAAACTGGAGCAATAAATCACTGAAATTGACTATTTTAACTTTTTAAAAATTATTATTTTTTTTAAAATGCACTTTAATTTAAAATCTTTATTTTTATTAAATCTTTACAGATCCCAGGAACAACATCATTGGGGATGTCTGTCTTTAATCTCAGCAATGCCATCATGGGCAGTGGTATATTAGGTCTTGCCTTTGCACTGGCTAATACAGGAATCTTGCTCTTTTTGTAAGTAATCTACATCCAAAATGACTTTGACTCACTTTTACTTTGCCATTGAAATGACAAATGTGAAATGGATGTGAATGTTCATGTTTCATTTAAATGCTGTTTTAATATATAAAACTGGCAATATAATTAACATAGTGTGAAATGTGTATCACTTTTAGGTGGCAGCTGATTAATGTTTTTAAAAAATCACCTATTTCCTTCATAATGAAATACCATGCCTCATTTCTAACAAACTTCCATAAAATTTACTACTACTCCTAGTTTAATTTCTGTAGGCTTTACTTCCTACAGAAGCCAGAGTTTTGTAAAGCACCAGTCAGAGTTACATTCTTCTTTTCTTTTTCTGGGTATATCCTCAGATTCACCTTCATTTTAGAAGTTTCATCTTTCTTTTTCAATGTATTAAGAGTTCCAATTGTTATCATAAAGAAACAAAAATAGAGTCTGGCAGAGAAGACTGCTAAACAATAAACAATTGAAGATATGTGTCTTTATCTTTCAAGAAACAAATATAGTTTGAAAAACATTGTCCTCATATGCCTGGTCGCCTATCACTCAAAAATGATAATATATTAGATCACAACACTAAATATGAGGGGCTTCGGGAGAGAAGTCAATGAAAAAAAGGTTGTGATTCAGAGTCACTGGTTGGTTCTGATATGCTGTAAGACAAATAATGAAATTTACTTTTGTTGTTTGTACTGAAAGCAAGATATTATTCCTGTGAACAGTAGAAGTTTCAGTTCTTAGCGTATCTTCTTGGATTTGGTGTGTTGTGACTAATCTGCAGGTGTCATTTGCAAAAGATTCTGCAAACAGTGAAGTTTTTCCTTGAAAAGATGTCAGCTTCCCACATCTTGGTGAAAGATATGCACTGTGCTTTTCTCTTAAGTTTTACAAAGAGAAAAGTTGTTTCCAAAGTTGTCATTATTTTATCCCCATGAACTAATGTTGTCACCAGTTGCCAGCAATAATGTTACCATAGAGTGGCAATGGGCAACTACAAAAAGAGACCAAAACCAAAATCATTGAACTATTGAAATGGTAAATTGCTGCTAGTGGTGACCCACAAGACTGAAAAGGGTCATCCAAGTGTTCTGGCAGGTTGATAGCTAAAAAATAGCCAGGAGATACATGTGGTCCTAGCACCATGCTCTGCCCATCCTGCCATCAGTGGGTCTCAGTTCCCAATTGAGGATCCCAATTTAAGCCAGACTGGATGCATCTACACTGCAGAATTAGTGCAATTTGACAACTACTTTAATTCCTATGGCTCAATGCTATGGAATCATGGGAGTTCTAGTTTGGTGACACTCAAAGCACTGTTTGGCAGATAAGGCTGAAGATCTTATAAAACTATAGCCCTCGTGATTCCATAGCACTGAGCCATGGCAGTTAAAGTGTTGTCAAACTGCATTCATCCTTCAGTGTAGATGCAGCTTGTATTTCTTCTCCATCAATTGTCCTATCTTAGCAACAACTGTGTCAGCAAATACCCTAGAGCAGTGGTTCCCAGCCTTTGGTCCTCCAGATGTTTTGGACTACAACTCCCAAAAATCTCAACTGGCTTACCAGGTGTTAGGAATTGTGGGATCTGAAGTCCAAAACACCCGGGGGACCAGTGGTTGGGAACCACTGCCCTAGAGGCACCAGATCCCATCTGATATGAGAAGTTAAACCAGATCAGCCCTGGCTTAACTTAGGTGGGAGACCAACAAACCTGGTCATTATATGGTGGTAGACCAGCAAAGAATACCAGGTTCTGTAGGCTGTATCCAAGAGGAAGCAACAGGCAAAACCACTTCTGAGTATTCCTTGTCTTTAAAACATCTATGAAGTTCTTGGTGTTGCCATAAGTCGACAGGCAAGTTGAAGGCACACTTATACACCAGCAAGATCAACTAAAGAATCACATTTGAGAGGTTTTAATTGCTCAGAGAACATTTAAAACTAAGTTCTTTATGGTGTTTAAAAACAAGGTTATTTCAGTCTCCCCATGGTGTCAAGGAAAAGAAAAGAATATAGCAGTAACTTCACAGTCTTAAAAAACCTTCTGAAAGGCACCGTTCTTTTAATTCCCAAGGAAAAAAAAGAGCTGTCATACACTAGACAGGTTTATAGATTTAATATGGACTGATGCCAAGCTCGTGAAATATATAAAAATAGTTTGAAGTCCAGACAGACTATTTCATATTTTAATGAGTGATTTAAAAGAAAGTTTTGAAGAACATGCACCAAAACTCCAACCTTAAGCACATTCTCTTTGGAATAATTCCCCTTAAACTCAGGAAGTATGTGTGGGTATGCATTGCATGGGCCCACGGAAAATAGAGAAGTTGTCCTATGTACGCCATATTGAACTGTGCTGTTGCATATTTCTGATTCATTTCAGAAGCATTTGTGCAGGAAGATTATGACATTTGATATTACATCTCTTGTATAAAAGTTAAATAACCAAGCTAGACTTGAGCAATTTAAGATTCTCCTGAAACCCTGCCATGCAGATTTGTTGTTGGAAGTTGATAAGTATCTAACAGCAGCTCTGTGTGTTATGAATGAACAATAAATTGCTTCGTCATCAAGGATAAATCTTAAAGACTTTGTGTATTTTAGGAATTTTTTTGTACAATGTAACTAAAACTCTTTGTTTCTGAGGCAAGGTGTGGTTATACTGTTTCCGTATAACGAAATGTATCAAAAGCAGTAGCTTATGTTTTCACAGCTACAGCTGCTGAAATGAAACTTCCCCTCAAAGCTGAACGAAAACACAAAACCACAGCTGTGTTCCTTAATTTGAGTTTGGAACTTCTTCAAAGCCCTCGTTTAAAACCTGTTGCCTTCCATGTGTTGGACTACAGTTCTCAGCATCCTCAGCCATCTATATAAATAAAAATGTAATGTTCTTTTGTGTGATTAACATAACTCAAAAACCACTGGACAAATTGATACCAAATTTGGACACAATATACATATCAGACCAATGAATGACCATCACTCATAGGAACACTGAAAAACACAGCAGAAGAGACTTTAAAAGCCAAAAAACAAAACCTGCATTGCAACACATGCACAAAACCACATATATACACATACATACATATACACAAATATTTACACACATATACACACACAAAACACATATACACAGACTGAGCCACAGCATCGCATGGCAGGGGACGGCTAGTTGGAAATATAGTCCAACACACCTGAAGGATTCAAGGTTGCAACTAAAGAACTTTCTATGAAGTTAGAATGAAGGGAAAAATATATTGGGTTGAAATAGGGTTACCACCTCTGGTTTTCAAAAGTTGCATATGGATTCTCCATCTGTCCATTTTGTTGTGATTTGCTATTTGGAATAATAATAATATACCATTTTTTTTCTAAAAGATACTCCAAGCGACAATATACAATTTAAAAAGACTATAAACACCTCTGTCTTGTCTGGGTTATATTTCAATTTGTTTGCCCTCATACAGTCCATTACGGACACTGATTTAAGACCTGTGAGATGGAATGAACCATGTCTCAAATATGTGAAATACCTGTAAATAAAATCCAGAGCCTCGCTTTCTGAACTTCCTCCCTTGTCATATGCCTGCCATCCTATCCCTATCATGGTGCCATAAAACTGGGTTGTGGGAGGAATGGAAGATAAGAAAAGTGTGGTGAATAATCAAGTATGTGAGCTAAAGTGTGAGGACTTCTTACATCATCTCGTTCACTTATTCAATGTTTTCTCATCCTTGCATCCTCTGAGTCATTTCTGTCTGAAATTACTTGGACGCAGGGAAAGATGTGGGGAGAGCTAGACTTAGAAAACCAGGGAACAGGTCTTCTTTGTCTCAGGCTCTCTGGCTCTTTATTCCTCAAGCAGAATGGAGTTAGTAGGAGGGAAAGAGGGTTGGGACTTCATGGGCTCATCAGTGCCTCCCAAATCAACCTACATAATCCATGAAAAATGCCTCAAGCAAGGAGCAGCTGAACTGCAGGAAATAATATGCCTGTGGAACAAATAGCTCCAGGTGACTCACACAAGTGACCAACACCATATGCTACAGGGAGTGAATATGCATAAGAGCTGGCAAAAGCCAGCCCTGGGAGAAATGTTCACACCAGGAAAACAATCAGATGCAGAGCATAAGGGCTTTTGTACCCAAGCTAAAACAAAAAAATTTAAAGTCTTTAACCTTTTCTGTTTACAGGAAATGTGGGCCCTTTCACACAGCCATATAATCCAGAATATCAAGGTAGAAATCCAAATTTTCTGCTTTGAACTGGATTATCTGAGTCCATACTGCCTTATAACCCAGGTCAAAGCAGATAATGTGGGTTTTATACAGCTATGTGGAAGGGGCCTGAGAGAAGAGAATGGGAAATACATCCTTTACCAGATATTGCCATCTAACCTACTACAAACACCTTGGCTCATAATTTAGTAGCAGCTTGATTTGCTGATAACATACCTAACAAGGAAATAAAATTATTGCAGCTTATTTGTCCATGCCAGTGGTTCTCAACCTTCCTAATGCTGCAACCCCTTAATATAGTTCCTCATGTTGTGGTGACCCCAACCACAAAATTATTTTAGTTGCTACTTTATAACTGTAATGTTGCTACTGTTATGAATCGTAATGAAAATATCTGATATGCAGCATGTATTTTCATTCACTGGACCGAATGTGGCACAAATACCCCATCTGCCCAAATGTGAATACTGGTGGGGTTGGGGGGATTCATTTTGTCATTTGGGAGTTATAGTTGCTGTCATTTATAGTTCACCTATAATCAAAGAGCATTCTGAACTCCACCAACGATTGAATTGATCCAAACTTGGCACACAGCACTCCCATGACCACCAGAAAATACTGGAAGGGCAATGACCTTGAGTTTTGGAGTTGTAGTTCGCCTATATCCAGAGAGCACTGTGCACTCAAACAGTGATGGATCTGGACCAAACTTATTTTTTTTTATTTATTAATCAATTTTATATACCT